CTAAGCTGAGCATAAATGGGTTAAAGCATAATTTCATCTTTGCTATGCTAAACATTCTGGCACTTTCCGCGATGGACAAATGAATAACTTGTCTGTTTCTCAGAAGGACAACCTCACAAGCCACTTCATGTCACGATCAGAGCCCGAGCATCCCCATCCACATGGCAATCCGATCCATCCAGTTATCACTGTTATCCGGACTAATATTAAACGTGCGTTGAAGAAATTCACAGTGGTACTGGACCTGTCATGAAGCCGATTGGTGTTCCATGGCGGCCCAGGAGGTTAACGCAACTAGCTGCATAGTTAAGCTGGAAAGTATGCTCTTCAGTCGTCGACGGCGACTATCAGCATTGATCATTGTCAAAAGCTGGTCAAGTAGCGCAATTTACGAGCGCATCCCAGGAAAGAAGACTGCGCAAAGTCATCAACAAAATGCTAGGAATCGCCCTGATGAAATTGATTTCCCCTTTGCTTCACGACGCATTTCCAGCTTGGAGCGTAGGTCGGACAAGTCATTCCTGCTGTTTGTGATGGCTTGTATCGATGAGTCGTGCGTTAAGCAGCGACTGACCTGGCTGTGAGCCCATGCGCGTGCTAGCCTTTAGTCCCGATCAAGCAAGCAGAACAAGACGCTACTTCAGTAAACGCTTGATTCACTTCTGTAGGCCCCCGGCTCTCCGAATCGATGACTTCGGTTGTCAGCGCCCTCCGTTCCCGATAGCCGAGGACTTGCGCCACGTCTAATATGAGCAAGCCCTGGCAGTGCACAGCCTGATATCCATGTCGGCTGCTGAAGCAGTGAGTTCGTATTGGATGGTCCGCCCAAAGAGAAGCATGGGTTAACTCTTGGCGGCACTTGCTAGTCATTGGCCCTTTCTGATTTGCTCTTTGATTCCCCCACTTGCCTAGATCCCTGCATTCTGTTGGGTAATCGTGAAATTGAATATGAGGTCCATCCTGAACGACAAGGCTGTATCCTAGAGCCACAAGCCTTGATAGATCTATCCCTCAAGATTACAAAGCACGATGTAACGTCGCTAAGTATATCAAAGCCTTGCCCAGGCTCGAGATATTTCACGGCTCATGCACATTGCTCTCCTGACATACTCAACACCGGCCACTCAGGTGATAACCAGGCTTAAGACAGTGGTCGTTATGCATCATGGCATATACGCAAGCCGAACTAACCGGCTACTTCGACCGTATCAACTTACCCAACGACGTCCGCGAGGCCTTATTAGCGGGTAAGGATCGCCTGGAGTCGCTGACCTGTCTTCTCCATCACCATCTGGCCGCTGTGCCTTTCGAAAATACCGCTCTTCACTATTCCGCCGATCGCGTCCTAGTTCTCAGCCCGTCATTATTATACCAGAAGATTGTTCATCGTCGGCAGGGCGGTACCTGTTTTCAGATTACTCGACTATTCGGCGAAGTGTTGCTAGCCCTGGGGTTCGAGCTGTACATGAGCGGGGCACGCACAAACAAATCGACTAGCGTGGCAGCGCAAGACAAGAATGGCCGCGCGCAATTTGGGGACTGGTATTCTTTCCTTCTTTCAGCCATATCATTGTTGGTGTATGTGCGCTGACGGTAAAGGCAACATATGATTCTCCTTGTCCGGATAGATGGGAACGATTTCCTCGTTGACGCAGGATTTGGCCCGAATGGCCCAGTGGACCCTGTCCTGCTTCGAGATGGACTCGAGTTTACTGACGGTGACGGGAACCTCGGACGGCGAGGCAGAGTTGTTCATGCCCCGATTGACCAGGGTCGTGCCAGACATCTCAAGTACTGGCGGCTGCAGTTCCTGTTTGATGGCAGTCCGGATTGGATCGACATATATGCCTTCACAGAGAGCGAGTGGCTTGAAACTGATTATCAAGCTGTACAGCGTGCGGTACGGAGTAACAGACGAGCTTGGTTTATGTACCGAGTGATTGCATTTCAGATTGTGCTCAAAGAAAGGACACCTGTTGGTTGGGTGATGATCTGGAATGACGCTATGAGTTGGTTCCAAGGGGGCAAAGTGTCACGGCGAATGAGATTCAGATCTGAAGAGGAGAGGATCAATGCCCTAGAGAGGGTGTTTGGGATTGAACTGGGAGAAGAAGAGAGGAGAGAGATTGTTGGGACAGTAGCATTCTTAGGTGGGAAACCAAAGATTTAGACATGTAGACAGAGGATTGTCCACATATAACTATTTCTGAACATGACACCAAAGTCATATATGCCTTGTACTGGCCAAAGAGCTCTGATCCAACATTCTAACCAACAGCATCCTATACATTGCAATCTGAGTGGATCTGTTGATTGAGTGACAAAACGTGGGTTGGTAATAATATCACGTTGACACTATCCAGGCAGGTCTGTCGCAAGGGAAATACAAACCAGTTGACATAGTACTGATACTATATCATAGAAGCAATTCAGCTATTGACAAAACAGGACGGAAGCAAGGTTTTTTCGAAGACAATGAGAAAACAATGAGCAAAGGAGAAGGAAGGCCAATCAAGTACATAAACTTAGTTGTAATTGTTAAATGCGAAAACTATTAGCGGCTCCCTTAGGTAATTGCCTGATCAGTTGGCTTTCGTACATATGCAAGTGAGGAGCTGTGGTTGTTAGTCAACAGAAAATAGACATACTGTTCTATCAATCTTGGGCAGAATGACATTAAATCTCACCCTACATCTAAAAGAGTTCAGCTCTTAATGAACGTAGGCTTGACACCTCCTATGTGTATTATTCCATGCTTTACATCCTACTCTGAAATAGCTCATATATTGTTCAAGTTTAGCCACACGATGTATAAATCCATAACAAGCCTAGTACTATTCACTTTGCTCCTGCAACGTTGGCTCAAGCTTCGACACCTGAATGGCCCTTGGATTGCTCGCTTTGGCAAGCCATTCATATATTGAACAGTGACTACCGGAGGTTGTCCTAAAGCTCCGCAAAAGACATGAACCATTGGTGCGCGTCGGTCCAGACAATGTCAGCGTTGCGGATCTCGCAGAGATTGAGAACATCTACCGATTGCCAAAGGTAAGCTTCCAACTGGTTTACCTCTGAGAAGACTGATCATTAGGACTTGCCCCCAGTTGACCTAGCAGGCAACCCTGAAATAGGTGGAAGGGTTGATTATATCAAAGTCTCTTCTTCTCATTTACTCATTTATTCATAGAAAGCGAGATCTGCTACTAACCCAAACGTAGTTTAGGGTGAAGTATCAAGCGATGCGGGGACGTGGGGTAGATCCATTCGTCATTATATATAATACAAGCCATGAAAGCTGTTCTACTGGGAGAATCTCTGTCCGCACACAACCTGACAAAAATCTCAGATCATCTGTTCCCGCAACTTCATCCAACTTCGTCCAACTCGCTCCCCTTCTAATCCAGCCACTCAGAGTTTATCATGGATGGTCGTTGTCAATGTGGAGCCATCCGATTTACGACACCACTTCCAGCACCTTACAAGATATACGCCTGCCACTGTACTGAATGCCGTCACCAGTCTTCATCTTACTGTGGCATAACAACCGTCTTTCCATGGTTTGAAATACCAATGGTCAATTCAGATGGCACTGCGAGAATCGGCACTTATACTCGGCGAACCTTGAAAGGTAGAGAGCTGGAATGTTTATTCTGCTTGTCATGTGGATCACGACTCATGCATCGCACTCATGGAGACGAAACAGTGAGTGTGAAGGGTGGCTGTCTGAAGGCTCTGACGAGGGAAATGATGTCGAATGCTGCGCATATTTGGTGTAAGGAAGCAGTGATGGAGATACCGCCCGGCGCAGAATGCTGGGAGGAGGATCCGGAAGATTAGCAGTCTGTCAGTACGAGGTCAAAGCTGCTCTGCATCTGCGGGTGTATCATAAGGCAAAACATAATGTCTGTCATAAACTACGAGCGGACTAGAGTTGCAAGATATGATAGGTGCTGATGTACTTGGTATAATCATTGAAGAACCAGTATCGCCCAACTTAAATACGTCATAATCTCGTGATCTTAACATTCTTTTATCCTTCTGCTCCAAAACCCTTATTGCAAAGCCACAGCAGGCCTCATAAATGAGGTCACATCGACGCAAATATCGTGTTGATTAGGCCTGAAGGTCGATCAAATAGCGCCTTCGGATGAAGATAAATAAATAAAGACGATTTTTGCGGAATTGCTTGGTGTAATGGTAGCTGTCTGCGCTATCAACCGGTGCCGGTTTCCTGGCTGCTGGATGCGACGACCATGCGATGGGGTAACAGGCTGAACTTGAAGACCCAGTCGACATTCCGCACAAGGGGATCGTCTCATCTATATAATTACCATCAATAACGCACTCAGTGGAAGATGCTCCCACCATAGAAATCAGTTCCTGTATCAGCAGGACGAGATACATCATTCACCGTCATCTCACCCGCTGGTGTATGATCAAATTTGGACCGCCTTGATGAGAGGATTAAGATCCGACATGGATAAACATGAAAAATAAGCCCTGACGCTGAGCAGGGTTACTGTGCGAACTGCACCTCTGAATTCTCGAACCACCATCTCGCACCTCGACGGAGCCTGGCCATGGACTCTGAGACGCCAGTCTCAATTATGAGCAAAGGCCAACCTTGGGCTGACCTCTGCCCTGTTAGGATGATGGGATAAAGTCGTTATCAGCCTCTTTGTTGCTGTTTCCAGCCACAGTTGGTGTGTAAGTTGTCGTCCGGAGATCCCATGTCCTCAATTAATGATCCGGCTAGAAAGGTGTCTATCAATATGTTCTCATGGAGCCGTCAGGTGGGGTGATCATCTTAAAGACAAGCACTTCCCTCGAACATGAATCGAAACGCGATGCCCGGCGAGGGGGTCTTGTACTCAACCGTTGAGTGCGAATGACCCGTAGCAGACTGAGCATTGTTTTCTGGTTTAACTGGAAGACCCTAACGCGTCGATTTAAGTCTATTGAGACTGGTGAACGGATGAGTGATGTAGTTGTCCGGCAGTCTACACCTGGTATCCCTTCGCATCGTAGTAAACCGGTTCAACCGGGACACCCTTGACAGGGAGACCATCGCCGAGGATCGCCAGGAGACTATCGCGTTGAAGTACATTGCTAATTCAGTCAGCAATGTTATCACAACTAGTACCATACGAGAGCTGTTCGACAGTGACATACAGGTCGTCAGATGTGTCCCATGCACTGTTCCTATCAAGATGGTAAGAATAGGGCTGGACTTGCCGTTCCATAGGCAGTTTACTCAGCGACCCGCAAATAACGCCTGACATTTGCATTCAGGCAACGTAACCAGTAGTGCCATGTTAGTGGATTCTGCTACAGGAGTTGTGGCTCCTGACGCAGTATCTTCAGCCTCACTGAAAATGGCCGCTATCTTAACATGACTCCGTTGTATCCATTCCAAGAACGCCTATTGAAAACTTACGGCAAGCCTCATCAGTGCGGCTGCGTCGAGACGAATGCCGGGTTGACCTGGGCATGGAGCTCGATCAAATAGCGCCTGGTAATGGAGATGAATGGGGAGACTTCCGGTCGCGTTGGTTGGTGTAATGGTAGCTGTCTGCGCTATGAACGGGTGCTGGTTGGCTGCCAGCTGGAGCCCGAGGGGAGGCATTGGCGGTATGGTCATCTGCTGCATGCGTAGAGCCTGCTGTGGAGTGACGGACTAACCGGGAGGGCTCAACTGCCACTTCTCCAACCGAATGGTCCGCTGGGTCCGTTTAATGCCGAGCAGGATCACGGTGCGAACGGCCCCTTCGGAGTTCTCGAACCACCATCTTGCGTCTTCGCGGAGCCTGGTCAGGGACTCAGAGACGCCGGCGTCAATTACCAGCGATGGCCAACCTGTCGACTGATTTCCTCTGGCCTGTCGGGTTGGTGGTATGAAACAATCATCCGCTTCTTTCCCCTTGTTTTCATCTAGTAGACTGCGAATGGCTCGAGGCAGGCCAAGGACAAGGATATACTGATTTCCTGCGTCATCATTCTGGTTCAGTCTCTCAAGTACCCTCTGCGCCGCAATTTTCAGTTTACTGAGACTGGTAAAGAAATGGGTGACGCAGTCATCAGGTGGTCCGGACCTGATATGCGATGGCTCCATGATCGTAGACTGCGCTGGTGAGGAGCTGATTGCTGACGCGGTGCCTTCGGTCTCAGTGAATGTGAACGCCATAATCAACAATCTGAAACATGTAAAGTAGAGAGAATGGTTTGAAGGAAGTAGATTGAGGAGATGATGAAAGTAGAAGGAAATCGAGGGTATTTATGGTAAGAGTTCTCAGCACTTACTGTTATTCTTATGGTTCTATTCACTGTTAGATACTTGAAGAACAAGTTCTATTAAGGGTTGCCGGAACTTACCATTATTCCTATGTTTTTATTCACTGGTAGATACCTGAAAAACAAGTTCTTTGAATATAAGCTATGGATTACAGCCAAAGGCAGTGAATTATTAATGTTGCATCTCGGAAGTGAAGGAATTAAATTCCATGGTTAATGGTAGACTAGGTATAATAGGGCAAGGTCAGTTTAAGGAATGGCTTTTAAAACCATGGGTGACAATGAGACAATGTAGTCATTAAAGTGTCATAAACCTTGCTAAATGTACATTGCTATATCTTTGTCATGGCCCCTCGTAGCAAATTCTTCAGCTATTTCTCTCTAGGTGTACTACGGATGATGATCATCAAGATGATGATGGTTCTCTAATACAATCACACCCCACGAGCCAAGTACAGGTTTGACTCTACATGTGCATGCATGGCAAACTCTCCACTTTAGAAACCGTTGCCTTCCAGACCTCTATCCCTTCAGACAGACCATTCGAGACCACTGGCATCTTCGACACTTCTGTACTCTGTTAGACTGGGTGCTCCAAGAGCTTGCGCCAGCGCTGCAGCATGATTAAGGATCTTGTAAATTGTCGATATGATATCCCCCTGTTGTCCTTTGTCCCAGCTCATAATACAGCCTGAGTACTACCCAAGTCAATATTTCGGAAGAGTAGTTTCAGCGGTTGGGCGAACGGCTCACCCGAGACTCCTTGTCGATGTACAAAAAGCGCCACTCGTCGGTATCAGTAACGATCCCATATACTGTTGTATCGTTGCGACCAGCTCTCTTTCTTGCATGGTGCAGCATGCCTGTCATAGTTTAATCAGTAAAATCCTTTGTTGACTCAGTACCACATACCCATAGAAGATAATGCCTGATATCGGCCAATGTTCCCTCGACGCGATGCGCAGAAAAATAGCAGGTTCGTCTCCCTTTTTTGCCCCCCGTACCAAATGGAGTAGTCTGTTGTGCCCTCTAACACATAATCCCTATTTTGATAGGACCAGGGCAGACTCAAATTGTTCTTGAATTGGAGATGCAGGGATCCGTAAGCTGACGCGGACTCGCGCTTCTTGCTTGCAAGGACTGCGACGAGAATTATCTCAAGACGGGATCTCATAAGCGCTTTGTTCTCGCTATCTCTACCTGCAGCACGCCAATAGCCCGACAAGAGCGACCCTATACTAGCGTCAGGCATGAAATTGACCTTCTGCGTGTATCGAGCGGTGGATACGTATACCTACCTAAGTACTCAGGCCCTTGAATCTTGTCCTGCGCTGTCAATTGCCAGCAAGAACTCGGATCCGGATCTGGCCGGAGGCGTAAGAACCGACGAACATCTTGGGGTTGTATATCGGCGATGGTGATATGTGGTAGATCGTTATTTTCTGAAGTGGCAGGCCTTTTAGCTTGCTGGGCCACAGTCCTAGACACTACGGGCACTTCGAGGATGTCAGCTTTGCTCCGCATGGCTGAGCCTTGTGCTGATCTTTTGCCAATTTGAATTCTCAATCTTTCAAAGTAGTCCATGTCAGTGGAATAGCTTGGTGGAGTGCAGTAATAGATAGAGTTTGCAAATGTTGGGGTCAGGACAGGGTAATGAAGTCGAAGACGCAGATGTGATGTCAACGCAGAGGGTCCAACTGTCTACCATACCTAAGCAGACTCAAAATGCCTGCAGTAGCAGTATGTGATACAGATATGTATTTAGTCACTCCTGAATATCAGTTATGCACTTAGTCGCTGTCTATTTTCTAAATCCGGCAGTTCTCTGTCGTCCTTCAGCTGTCCCTCCAAAACCATACAGCCAGTCATCTGGCTCACAGTCATTTTCCGTCGGTTCATTTGAGTTTCTGATATTGCAATCCCAATTGCCTGTTTAATAATCTTGCCAATTTGGCTGATGATCTCTTCTTGTTGACCTTTTGTCCAGTCCAAGTGGAGCGACGAGTACTTCCAGATATCTCGTCAGCTTACTATATCATCTACACCGTGGGCAAATACATACCTGACTCTTGCTGTTGAGGTGCAAGAATGTCCATTTGTAACTATCTGTACAGACACCATATATTTCCGCGTTCCTCCCGGCTTTCTTTCGAGCGTAGTGAATTATTGCTGGGGAGTAGGTGTTAATAGGACGATTCGCTGAGGAGACACGTTCTCAACAGCAATATATCACTTACACATAGCTGCAAGAGGCATCCAGCACTCCTCCTCCATCAGCACATCACTTCGGACAACGATAAAGTTGGTCTCGAGGTCTTGTTGGCTCCCGTACCATAGAGTGTAGTCCACCGAGCAGCCAACGATGTAACTACAGCCTTGAAAGTCGTGTGCTATGCAGAGTCTGCGTCGGGATCCCCAGGAAACGGCGTCCAGAATGGCCGACATTCCAAATCTGCCAATCTCGGACTTTTGTCGCGCTTCTTTCACCACGGAGAGGATTTGGATCAGTATGGCATCCAATCTCGGGCGGATGAGCTTAGTATTTGGGGACTCGACGATTAGCGCTAGGTTATAATCATCTAGGAGACTTTCTGGTATTCATTAGTGACAGGAAACACGTTATAGCCCAGGAAACGCACTCACCGAGGGAGCTAGGCATTTCGAGTCTGTCATCTCGTCCAATACGCCACGTGCTCTTTTTCCTCCACCAGCTGCTTGGAGAAATCACCGTAGCATCAAGGAAATTATCAAGGACCTCGCTCTCGTTATCTTCGCCGTTGTCAGGTTCCGAACGAGAGCGTATCGGTTGCATCTCGGCTTTGGCATGTCTCGGCAGAAGTAGATTCCGCAAACTTGGTGTGTTTTTGATATCGGGGGACTGGGATAACCTATTGACTGACCGCTGCTGGGCCGTAGATAGATGACTTTAGCATCAAAATTGAGACATCGGAGGTCTAATCGGGCAGCGGAGGAGTCTCGCTCCATGGGTTCCTCGCCTCAGGTTCCTGCATTACCCTGTGCTGACATATAGTACCGAACCTTGGAGTCTAGGTACTAAAGCGCATGTAGAGTTTGGAACAAACTCGATGCATATGTGGTCGAACCACACATAATCCTCAGTTCCCAACCAGCTTGGTCGGCTGAGTCTTCTCCGCACAGCATATCTATCACGCTCAATGGCTTTATCAACGAATCCCCTAACAGTATTGGATAGACATCGCATTGGAATCTCAGATAATTTGCATTCCATAATGGAACGGGCAGTATAACTTGAAGTTGATTTCGAATATTACTATCATTCTTAATCCATACAGCGCTTTCATATAGAACCCTCGGTAAATCACAAACTGCAACCACAAGAGTCACTGGGATTCCTGTCTGAAGCGCGCAGATCCCGCATTGTGGCTGAAGCTAACATAGCCACCCAGCTGAACAGGGGTAAGCCTCGCAAAGCGCCGTAATCGTGGCAGGGTCTGCAGGGGTTGGCGGTTGAGCCCCAGTCTAAGCGCCGACTCCCTCCTCTGTCAGAATGTTGCCTAGTTTTGACAAAGGTCCATTCAAAATCAGATATAAGGCTGTAAACCTCCAAGTGGCACAACCCAAAGAATGGCATTGTTGTATCCATGGCCAACTCCACAACAACGTCGTCCGGCTGGGTCAAGGAACCCGACGGGCGCGGAACATGGGGCATCCTCTCGACATGTCTGCTAACCATCACTCTATGCTGCTGGACATCCGTCTGTCCCAATATTCCCGCTAGGTCGGATGGATACTGGAGCCGCCTGCGGGATAAATTCCACCTTGCGTGTATGGGGATCCTAGGCCCGGAGTTTCTTTTGATGTTGGCGACGGGACAATGGTCGTCGGCTAGGACGTCGGTTAAGGTGTGTTTTCACGGCCAGGCTGGATAGTTCTAATAGGTGTAGGAGTTTCGCAGGTTAAATAAGAAAAGAGGGAAACAGGAGTGGACCATGACGCACGCGTTCTATGCGGATATGGGAGGGTTTCTTCTCGAGGGGCCTGGGGTTGAGACTCCGTTCCCGGTTGATGCGACGCAGTTGCTTTTCCTGGTCGAGCACGGATATGTGGAGTATCCAGAAATTACTCGGGATGATATCGATGATCGGAACAAGTCAGATGGGTTCGCAAGGTGGGTTTTGGTCATGATCTTGATGGAGGTGAATGCGCTGCTGCTGACGACGATGATGCAGATTTATCGCAGTGTGTCAGGCGGTTTGGTTGCTGCTCAATTGTATCCTGCGCGGAGCCCAGCACCTTGCTTTGACAACGCTGGAGCTTACTACTATCTCGTTTGTCATCGTCTTCTTCGCAACATCCTTTTGCTGGTACTACAAACCGCAAGATATAACCAGTACGACCACCGTAACCCTCGCGGTAGATATCAGCACTATCCGGGAAAAGGTAAACCAACGCCTCTTCTACAGGAGGGAATGCACTGACCATGGGGAAAGCACTGTCCTCCAGAGCTCGAAGAATGGTACACGAACCCCTTAGAATTCCTGCATCCCAACCTCTACGTCTGCCACGTCTTTTGGCGCTACTTCAACCAGATACTCCGCTGGGTTCACTGTCCCATCTTCTCTCGTCCCGTCACCAGCAAACCTTACAACCGCATCCCGAGCGACGATTTCCCGCATCTAGATACACTAGCTGACACCCTCGCTTGTCCGATCGTCCTCCTCTTTGGCAGCATGTTCATGTTCGCTTGGAACTTTGACTTTCCCTCTTCCCTCGAGCGAATCCTATGGCGCATTGCGTCCTCCTATACACTGTTATTCTCCATCGTCGGCGGTCCATACTTACAATTCTGCTACAAGGTCCTTCTTCCACGGCATACTGAGAAACGAAGGGCTGGCGATGTGGAATCGACTACCCCGCAGACGCGGATGCAGCGTCTTGCTACGAAAATAAGAAATATTCATCCTTCCAGAGACCCACGGTTGGAGATTCCGCTGTTGGCGCTCCTTCCCGTGACAGTGCTGTGCGCTTTGTATTGTATTTCGAGGGCGTATATACTCGCCGAGGACTTGGTCGGGCTGAGGGATCTACCTGAGTCGGCGTTTCAGACGGTGGAGTGGTCCGTTTATGTTCCTCATTGGTAGTTGGTAACAGATCGATTGTTGCCTATGCACTACTGAAGCCATCTGTCAGCTCATTTGACAGATGCCGACTTATATACTCTATCACTCCCTGACAGCTGCCCTAGCTGCCAACCTGCCACCTCTACGGCGTACGTTACGGATCAAGGGTTATTCCTAGACTGGTCATGGGTTGGGTTTAAATTAGGGTTGTTATTTTGATGGGTTGGGCTAGGTTCTCCTGACTTTAGAATCTAACCCGGTGGGTTTAGTTTCTGGGTTTATAGGGCCTAAACCCAGCCCATACCTAGTAGGTTCTAGAGGGTCAACCTATTTAGATTCTATAGAACCTCAAAATTATTCTCTATCTGCCTAATACAGTTGCATAATTTGCATTCGGTCCGAGTTCAGGCGAGTTCAAAACCAGCTGGCACTGAACCGCTGCGATTTCGAGTTCAAATTTTGACATCAAAACCAACCCTGATAGGATCCGATTTGGTCAAATGTTTCCAGAACTTAATTTCTCCTATCTTAGGCCTATGCCTAGGGCCTATCAAACGTGCTTATAAATTTAATGCTTTTATATAAAATATCTGGTAATTATCTTCATACTAATCTACATCTAGAATATCAATTGAGTATATATAGTGCTGAATGAATAGTGGCCACAAGTTATTCTTAACTATGATAGTTGAAGGTTAATGCATATCTATGTATAAACCACCACCACTTTCATACCAACCCCGGATAGAAATAATTATTCCCTTATATCTTAGCAGCCACTAGATATTTTGGATCAATATTTCTTATCTAGATAAACTAGATATTAGGCTATCTAGTGATATCAATATTTTTCGAGAAACCCTGGAAATTAGCGATTATTGATTGAAATGGTGCCGACTGGTTCTATTCTCATAACTGATGGTTTTAACCGAATCCTAATTGGTTTCCCTAGTGCCATTCCCTGGGCCAGGCACCGAATTCTAACCGCTGCGAGTTCGGTGAGGATTGGATTCGATTTTAGCGGTTCGGTTATGCAACTCTATGAACAACGGATACTATCACCCGTCTGCAGATGGACAGCCAACCTGAGCCTTCATTGGTTGATCAACAATCAGATGACACCGCTGTATGAACAACTCATAACTTAAAGGCGACTCTCTGGATAGATGGGTCATGTTCATTTTCTCTTTGAACATTTGCCAGATCATGACGGAGTTTATCGACTCAGAGTCTACGCCGTCAATACTCTCAATACCCATGGTTATTGGAGGAACCACCGCCTTGATCGGGTACACGGTAAGGACCAGCATGGACGCAATACGCGAGGTTAGATCCTGAATTGCCAACACGAAGGCTTCACAGACCCCTTGTACCAGTATTGTTATCCAAGTGATACACCCGGCCCTACCGTAGTGAGACTGATCTATATTTGCCCTAGCATACTTTGCATAAACAATGGATCATCCCTCCAATAGGAGTGCGCCCGACGCGTCGTTACTCTCCCTCATCGGCCAGAACGGCCATTATTTCCCAAGCTGTACAAGAATGCACGCGAATGTTTCAATGGTGACCGGGACAGAAATGACTGATTGTGATCTAACGTGTACCTGCCGAGGATTCGGGCTCAGGGAACATCAGTTGCCCGAGCGTGATGTCGGATTCGAAAGCCAACAGCCTGCCACGAGTATCAACGACGATTAGTAATTTGAAGTGATACTAGGTTCACCAAGCATAAAGGGTCCTAGTGTAACAATATACAAAGGGGTCCAGAACCAAGCTTAAACGTACTCGTCATCGTCGAATAATCCACAAGCTGTCACTGAGGCAAAGGGACTCAATATCGTCGAGAAGGCATCAAATATCTCCGCATCATCCTGCCGTGCATCATCTGCCGCGTCTGGAATAGAACCAATCGTAGGATCACGCGACGACGTCGGGATATACTCCCTAGGAGTTGTGGCGGGAGCAACCGTCTGATTGTAAAGCCGGCTCTTTGCCTTGGTGAACATTCTTGAAAGTATTTCAGCGCCGAAGTACACGGTTTTGAGCTCCTCGATAATCATCATGCAAAATTCGAGGTTGTGGCAGCCCATGCGTCGCACTAACTGTTTTTCAGACGTGGTGTCAAGGAGATGGATTTGCAATGCGGGGACCAAGGCAATGCAGCTGGCGATATTTAGCATCCTCAACTTTACATGTCTTATTGTCTCCTGGAGATGTACGTACACCATCGCTTGAGCGCTGCTGATCATATCAGCACCGATCATGTCGCCGAGGATCTTGTTGGTGTTCGTCGCGGCGTCTCTGGTCCTGCGCACCACAGTTGATGTCCATTCGTCTGCAGATTCAACAGGGGAATTCGTTTCTGGCTTATCAAAAAGGAATTGCCGGTATAGGATGAGAATAACGGACCTGTAGCTTCAGGGTCAGGCTATTGAGAACTAACCAAGAAGACAACCGTGATTCCACTTACTCTAAATACAGCTCTAGGTGGTACGCGTGTAAGGAGACGACGTGACTGTGCGTGTGAGCTATGGCGTGGCCTTTGCGGGAATAATACTGTCGAACGTTATCGTCCATGTGCTGTATTTCACTCCTACTTGGTCGCATCCGCTCCGCTCGATTTTGCCATGAGAGAATCTTGGCTAAAGAGACCGTAAGTGCTAACAGCTCTGTCCATAGCTTAGACAAGACCTCAGTGCTTTCAGGAAGGTACTTTCTTTGAATACTCTCCGGAATACCCGCGAGCAGGTTATCCAGATCTTTGGTATCTGGCATCGGGGTACTGCAGTCGGCTAGGTTGATGCGCATGGGCCTGCCCATGCCGGCAGAGAACCACGCTTCACGGTAAAAGCAGCTCCACCATATCTGCCGCCATATTCTGCTGTCGCTCATGGAGATGGCTTTACTATGTTTTCGACCGGTGTTTGGCTGCCGGTGCAGCCCTATTGTTTGGCACAGACCGATGGCAACGCCGTTCCAATGCCAAGGTCCGGTCCTGTCTTCAGTGTCCGAATACCAGAAGCCTGTCAGAAGTACCGCCTGGATTAGAGTAATCTTCCTTCTCTCATACTCTGCGTCATAAAGAGCCTATGTGACTTTGGTTAGCTAGTGCCCCTTCTCCAAATATGTCTTATCGAGCTGCGACCTTAGCTCGGATATACATTGCACGCTTCATCTCTTTTCGACATGAAAAGTTGGCTGCTTTTAGGATGCTGTCATCTGCGAACTATATCTCATGTTAGGATGCCAAAGAGAGGAAGTGGGGTAGTGAATGCTGCTACGCATACATTTGCAGCAGCTAGAAACATGCTCCACAGCAGATGCACGCTCACTTCGTTGCGCACATTTTCAAACATATTAAGGAATGAACGGGCATCAACAACTGGGAAAAAGGGATGCACATAGTGGAAGTACGTCCGTATGATCATTTCGCAGACAGAAGGAGTGGGTAAGTCGAAGACGCCCTTACGGCACAGGTAATCCATCGTTTCCTGGTCCATATGAGTTGGGCCAATTCGTGGGACAAGAAAGTGCCCGCTTTTGTTCCTCGGCTCCGGTTCGCAGATGTCCACTACCAGGCCAACGCCCCGGGGGTCGCCTAAGTGACGGAATCAGCATTATAGCGGAGCATTCCCAAAAGACCCGTTGAATATCTGATTCTCACCATATAACGGGGAATAGCACTTATCTGCCGTATCTCCGACTGGTTGCGACGTTCCCGTACCACCTCCATTGTGATGGCTGAAATGCTCGTTGAACGGATGATAAGGTGTTTCGGTGCCATCTCCAGTCTCATCAATGGACAGAGCTGTAGGAGTCTGCCCGCTCCGCACAGATAGATCCTCCGATGCACCGAGTCGCTCGGGGCCGGGTGGAAAGCTGCTACCCTCCAGAGGAGTACTCTGTACCGCGGCATTGCCATTCGACGGCGAGGATACCGCGCTAAGACGTACTTCAGCTCTGCCATCGGTTTGTTAGTGTGCTTGCCGAGGAGTTCTTCAGTGTGAGGTTGCCATGTCGCTTACTTTGCTCTCTTGCTCACCCGCGGCACACCTGAGACATCGTCTAACGAGCAGTTGGCGCAGGGTCGGCCAGTCTGTGGGAGACTGCACCTTACTTTGCGGACGTGGCATGACTGGCAGGCCACAGATGCTCGTTTTCTCGACCGCTGTGTTCTGCCAGTATTCCTCGCTTTCTCCTTAGAAGAATTGAGCATAACGAAAAACAGCAGTCTGGTCTTCGCGAATGAGGTCCACGCGGTATATTCAGCACCAATGTTGGAAGATCTGCCGCGGATAAGGAGTACTTCAGAGCTGGAGCGGTACAGACGTTGGACCTCGGCAACATTGCAGGCTTGCAGCCAGCTGGTTGTCGATGATTAGTCATACAGGGTTGATTCCTTCCTCGGCTGTCCGTTTGAGCCCATGATCTAGCTGCTTTCAACCTCCCATTCACCGACTTTGAATCCCAAGTGTATCGCGTAGCAGCATGGTAATACCAATTCTGCAAGAGTCTCATCGCGCCGTGCGCTAGATAACGCCTAAGGATGTGGCAATGATCTAGTTAAGTTACGCCCGATTACATCTACCAAACTTCTCATGGCAAATGATTGAAACTGTTGCGACCTCGCTACTACGGAGGTCAGACGTTGGACCTACATTTGTGCAATAGCCGAAGGGCAAGGACCTCAATGCCCTTGCTGGCGTAATGCAAGCGATTTTCAACACCGCTTCTTAAGCTATTAAGCGGAGCTCTTAGTCGCTTGATAGCGTTTAAATGGTATCTAAGCCGCGTAATGCGGATTTGCCGATATTGTTTTACACCAAAATGGGACAGATCGAGGAGCCGACAAAATCTTTGCTACATCGCTCGGGCAAAATCGGCTCTGTGGCCTTGAAACTCCAACTGAAACTCTTGACGGATGATGCTCTGAACAAGAAGCATCCAGACTGAGAAAGAGAAGATGGATTGCAAATTCTTGCACAGAGAGGTGAAGAAAGAAAAAACAGGAACACAGCTTGAAGCTGTATATGAGGCGAAATGTAAGCGGAGGCCTGCAAACGAAGCGCTGATGCCCAGGTCTCAAGCAGTATGGTGTTTGGGGCACAGTATTCGATAAAATCAAAGTCGAGATGTCTTACTCTTGGAAAGGGCCTCTCCCATCTTGGCCTGTGGGATGCCCTGACAGAAACGGTCGAGGCCACCGAACATTTCTAGCGGCGCTTGTTCGTCCTGCTCCCTAACCAAGCGACGACGCATGAGAGCCTTCGTCCCCAGAAGGCTTGATTTCACCAAATGTTCGCCGAATGTCTGATGCAGGTGTTCCATCACCTGTGCACGGAAGTTGTCCTTGCTTTCGAAGACCTTGTTCACAAAACCGACCTGAGCCAACTCACTGACAGGAATCTTCCTGCCAAGAAGGAGTGCCTCGTTTGCTTTACCGTGACCCATCCGCTGCACAAATGCGATACTGGAGCCGCCTTCTGCAACAAGGCCGAGAGAGGTGAAAGGAGTCATCAGATAAGCGTCGGATACCGCGTAGATAAAGTCCGAGTGAGATATCAAGGCAGCAGAAAGCCCTATGACAGGTCCGTTCAGCGCCGTTACCAAAATCTTCGAATGGCTGTAGAACGCTCGCGCCACGTCGACGTTGTTATTCACCAATTTCGGAAGCCAGTAAGGACGAGATAGCATCTCCTCCATAGATGGTGGCTTCCCTTTAAGGTCAGCCCCTCTAAAGTCTGCGTCAGCATCTCTTCGCAAACTCCCTTATTTGCGCCAACGCGAAATGAACTTACGCGGAGAAGAAAGGGCCCTCGCCGATCAAGACAGTAACGTAGACCTCTGGATTTTCTTCGGCTTCACGAAGCAAGCTTGCAAGGCGATAATACAGACCCTGCGTCAAGGCGTTAAACTTCGTTGGATTGTTCAGCGTGATGACGGCAAAAATGCCGTTGATGTCAAGGCGAACAAGATCTTCTTCAGCCATGGTTCAATAGAATTGTTGACAATTGATAACGAGAAGACTTCGGAAATGTCCTTGTTCAACCTTGAATGTAAGGGTTCTTATTGATCCTTTTAAGTAGTCCCTTCAGTATATTACTCCGGCTTGAGCTGCCGCGGCTATTGAGTGGGTATCTTCAGTGCCGCGGAAAATACCAACTATCACCAGTCTCGGCACAAGTAGACGTCGTTTTGAGCAAGCCCGAGGCGTGCACTCGCCTGGCACGTCACTATGGAGTACATGTCTGATGTACTTCAGTACATCTGCGGCTATAACAGCCTACTTACAACTTTGGTCCATATACATCAGTCATAACGTCTGTTTTTGACATGGGTCTCTGGATATGGTGCCTCAGCCTGGTACTAGGTCCGAGTCTTAATAATGACCATTCACCGTAGATAAAAGAGAATTTGCAACATGACATTTGCTTGTGCTTGAGACGCGTTGTCCAGTATGCTTGGATAGGTCCCCAACTTCACCCAGAATATTGCTCCCAGAATAGTCTCACCACCTCTGACCACCTCCTCAACTCGCCAAAACATTCTTTTCTTCTCCTCGGGTAGCCTTGGCATGCCTTGTCTTGAGCTCACTTCCAGCTCGCTGCTGTTATCTAGTTATCGTGCGGTATCATGAGAGAAGAGATGGCCGCCGCAAGTCGCCGCCTTGCCCCATAGGTAGCGGAATACCAGCGTTGCTCTCCGGGTTCACTTGCACCGTGGTAGTGCACCCTCAAACGACCAGGAAGATCTGGTGCCCCACCTACACTTGGACAGGATGGGAATAGGGGTGCTGTGTGGACCATTCAGGAGGCGGAGGCGGAAGTGAGGACGATCTCAACAGTCGCTTTAATCTTTTCCATGGTCTCGCGAAGAATGATGTTGCTCTTCCGAAGTTCCGCGACCTCTATTGTATTAGCGTGGATAGGCTCGTCCTTATCCTCATGAAGGCCATCAATATACTGGGCAATTTGTTGTATTGCAGCTGCCAATTCTCCTTTGTCTCCCAAGAGTTCGGCTTCTCGGGCCCTGGAATTACACAGCGCTTCCTCTAGGTCAGTGATGACGCTGGTTAATTGCTTCTTCTGCTCTTCTAGCTCCTCAGTACGATGTCTTTTTCGTTGACGAGAGTCGAGCCTATAGGACAGTCTGTTAGAAGCAGTCCGATAACGGTAATCTTCACGCACGCAGCTTGTCTGTTCCGGAGTAAGCGCTTCTGTTGCTTGAGCTCCTTGATCTCTTCCTCGATGGTCGATTGCGAAATCAACTGGTCGATATTTTCAAGAGTGCGCTCGGGTGGGATTTCGAATCTCGAGTTCTTCTTTCTTCGGGTCGTATGCGGGGTAGGGACTGGATGAGGTCGATCTAGTAGACTCCATTGAGGTTTCACCTGCCCGTCGTCCCAGTCGTCGACACGTCTGAGAAGTACATCACTAGGCACATCGGCGATTATGGTAGATTTCCGTCTCTTTCTGGAACCGGGCGGGTGTGATATTCCAGAGACATGGCTGCCAATCGAGGACGCGGAAGAGCTTGGCCGCGGAAAGGAATCTAGAAAGGGGATATAGTGTTAGTTTGATTGGAATGATGTAGACTATGTTATGTTCGGAAGGGGATAGCAGGCACAGACCATTTCCGGTAAACATGGTGCGCAGCTACCAGCCACACGCTGGTCTCGCTGACGGAGATGGATGGTTCATTTCGTAACTGGCAGACAGCGGCAATTTATACGAGCAGGCCCGACAACGCTGCGGCTACCAGGTTCAGCCTCAACACTGGCTGCCACGTCAACTTGCATGAGCCTCTTCTGCGGCGGGGTTTTTGCGTTACCGATTGTCTCATTTCTTTTAGTGAACAATCAGTCCTTAAATATGCCGTGCCGATAACGTGAAACGCGAAACAGACTAAAGATGTCCTGCCAAACGAAGCTCGAAGACTGCACAGTGGTATGGCTGTGCCCGCTGGAGGTTGAATTGCGGGCGGCTATCGCCATGCTCGACCGGGTCTGCGAAGACATCCCTCTCAGAGCCAGAGGCCAGGACGTGATCTACACCGTTGGCGAAATAGGTCCTCACAAGGTGGCCGTAGTCGGATACTACCAGGAACAAGGTCTTGCGGTCTCAGGAAGCATGGTAGCGGAAGTCAAGCGGGATCTCCCAAACCTGCAATTCGGGCTCCTGGTTGGCGTCGCTGGCGGTATCCCATCCTCAACCAGGGACATCCAGCTGGGAGATGTGGCGGTAGCAGTTCCAGAAGGAGATCGTCCAGGTGTAGTAGGATATGATCTGGGCAAGGCGGGAGAAGATGATCGGTTTGAGCTGAAGCACTGGCAGAGCGCAACTCATCCTCTTCTCCGATCGGTAATCAATATAACTAGAGCCCGGAATGAGTTTGGATTCTGGAGGCACTTGCGCATCGTCGACGACTTGGCCGAGTTCCAGAGGCCAGATGGTAGGCCGGCCAACCCAAAGGTCCACTACGGTACCATTCTCTCTGGAAACAGCGTGATCAAGTCCAAGGCAAGGAGAGACTATCTGAAAGACCGGTACGGCGGCATTGCAGTGGAGATGGAAGCGGCCGGGATGATGAGCCGGCTGCCTGTCGCGGTGATTCGGGGGATCAGCGATTTCGCCGACTGCGACAAAAATGACGGCTGGCAGCCGTACGCCGCCATCACGGCGGCGGCGTACGCTAAGGAGCTCCTGGTTCGTTTGCCCGGTGAGAGTAAAGAAAACTGCCTATGTATGTGGTCTCCGTATGTGATCTCCATTGGACAGGGAAAGGTCCAATCGCCTGTGGCTCTCTATATGGAGGATGCTCAATGCTTACCGACTGCGTAGCAAACAATGTCCGAGGATCTCCGATACCAACGCCATTCTCCGATAAGGATATCCGCCTGGCACAAGCACTACCGGAAAAGTGGGCCTTTATGGGTAGGGAGGACGAGATGGCCTTTTTGCGGGAAGAGTTGGGCTTCAGCACCCAGCCGCCCCTTCAACGGTGCGTTGTTGGCCTCTGGGGCCTCACTGGGATAGGCAAGTCGCAACTCGCCGCAAGGTTCGTGAATCAACAACGATCCAAGCACCCAGAGCGGGAAATATTCTGGATCAGTGGCGAAAGTCGGGAAGCGTTTGAGCACAGTGTCATCAGTATGCTCCGAGTGGGCGGCCATTGTCATGGTCTGGAAACTACTCCAGATAGCACAACGTCCGCCAAACAGTCCCAGCAAGACCGAATAGCGCTTGTCAACTCTTTTTTTGCCGAACTTAACCGTGCGGAGGACGCGAGATGGCTGCTGGTCATCGATGCAGTAAACTCAAACCCATACCCTAATTCGAGCGACACGTCATCGGCCAATATCCACAGCTACGTGGGTAGACTCAAGCGAGGCTATGTTCTCCTTACATCACGGAGGCGAGACATTGTCGAGCGATATCACCCCAACCGGGAACTGAAAGGGCTGAGCGATGAAGATGCTATCGCTCTGTTGCGTACTCAGGTCGATCCTCGGCTCGTCGAAGGAGAAGGTAAGCCGCTTCCTCCCGTCAGCGCTGTAGCTTTGGCTGCTAACAGACACCGGCTTCTCCAGGCATGAGAGAGCGGGTAGGGCTACTTAAGGGCTTACCATTGGCCCTGCGTCTTGCAGCGTCCGTTATTTCCCGATATCGCTACACCGTCAAGGACTATCTCGAGGCATGGAGAAGCCGTGGCGCAGACGGCGAGTTCCTCGATGTCGATGAAACTCTATCTCGCTCCATGGAGTTGAGCTTCGAGGAGCTTGAAATGACAGACCCAATGGCCGCAAAGATATTGACTCTTTTCGGCTTTCTGCACCACCGCGACCTGTGGTACGATCTCTGCCTCGGGGCATCCGACGATAAGTACTATCCGGCCTGGCTCCGCGAGCTAGCAGTGCAGAAACGGCAATTCCGAGAATTCTACCCCTTGTTAGCAGATCTGTCTTTCATTGAGCTGAGATGCTCCGCTAATGGCCGCCAGCTTTGGGAAACTCACCCCGCAATCCAAGTGGTTGCAAGACAGAGAGCGATTTCCAACGGGCAAGAGCAGCTCTATATCCGATGCGCAATTTCGCTTGTAGTGTCTCATATCCCCCGATCCTACGAGGAGGGCTTTTGGGAGACCATGCGGCGACTGGAGCCGCACGCCGATCTGTGCTGGAGCTATATTACCCAAGGAAAATGGGGCCCCGGCACCAATCTGACCGAGCTCGAGAGCCTAGCCCGCTTGTTCCGACACGTCGGTCGATATGAGCGCGCCGCACTGATCTACCGGATGATCGAGAACGGTGTCAACAGCCTTCCCCAGATTCGCACGGTGGACACGAATGAGTTTCTGGCCGATGTTCTGACCAACCTCGGGCTGGTGTATACTGCTCAGCAGAAATTCGAGCTGGCCCTGCGCGCCTTCGAGGAGTCGTTAGCCCTGAAAAGAGGAATGGGCGGACCCACCCCCGACGAGTCCATGTCCATCATGTACAACAAAGCGGTGGTATTTATGATGACAGAAAGACTTGAGGAAGCGGAGAGGCTCCTACGCGACGCGGCGGCTCACTTTGCCCCGCCGGAAACCGAGCATATTCTGATGAGAAAAGAGCGCAATCACCTCTACATTCGAATCCTGAAGGATATCGGCGAAGTACTCCTGAGGAAGGGCTCCGTTGAGGCCGCAATGGACCTCTTCCGCAACGTGTTCGACAGCCAACGGGACGGTCTAGGTGACTTCCACCCAACCCTTGTCTCACTCAAGCTGAATTTGGGGCGCGCCCATACCAAACTTGGTCAATTCACAGCCGCGCGTACCCTGCTGGCTGAGGTTATCGCCATATATACGGAGTGGTGGGGACGCCGCCATCCTGAGACGATGCGTGCAATTGACGAGCTAGCTTGGGCGTTGATGGAAGAGGGCAGGCATAAGCAGGGAGACAACATCCCTGCGATGTCGGAGATGCGGAAGGCAGGTGAACTCTGGGAGGAAGTCTTGAGCTTCTATAAAGGCATTTACGGCGATGGGTCAGATATGGCTGGTCGAATCAAGTCAAATCTACTATGCTTGGGGAATATAGATTCCGGGAACCCGGAGATGAACGGTGGATATGTACCCATTCCCAACTTGTAAATAACCCCTATTTGTGACGCTGATATTCTTTTCACATAGTGCTTCCCCCTCCCGCGCGTAAACCAATAGCTTCCCAAATCACGGGCTTCCTAAATAGGCGATAAAGACGTCACCAAGAACTCCCTTTTTGGCAGACCGCCAAAATCTGCCAGGCACTATGACTAACGGGATAGCTAGAATCGGCACGAAAGTATCTGTTCCATCAGAGAAGTCTCTCTCCGGAAAAGGCATTGCCACTCGCCTGTGCGATTCAACGAGCTGCTGAGCGTGGTCTTGGTGAAGACTCCCAAGCCACCTTAGTCAGATATGCCTTGTCGTTCTTTGTTGCTACGTTGCGGATGGTGAAAATGGAAAATGAAAAAAATGGACTCGCGGGGAATCGAACCCCGGACCACCCCCATGCTAAGGGGGTATTATACCACTAAACCACAAGCCCAACTTGTTGAAGGGTCGCAGCCATAAATAACCTATGGAATAGATCATTTTAATCTGCGGAAGTGAGATTCCCGCGGTATCTGTAGGATTTAATTTATGACGCTGGGCTACGATTTGAGTAACAAGTATCTATGTATTATCAAGTGATTAGCATTACTCCATGACCATTGACACTACTCTCGCCCAAACCAATAGTAGTCATTATGACGGTAATAAGCGGTTTGAAAACCCGAATAAAGAAAGCTCATTTAGTACAATACTGAAGAATGGCCTTGTTCTAGGAAGTCGCGGAAACGGTCTCCGGAAAACAGTTTATGTATACAAGGCTAGTCAGTGCATCTATTCGCTCCACCTCTTAATCTGCTATTATGTCTGCCGAGCCGTTTACGACCCGCAATTTTGCCCTGATGAATTGATCCTTACGCAGATAAGGAAAAAAAAGCTCCCTCTTGAGTTTCATTCAATCTCCCTGAATCGGCTTCCATACAAACAGCGTCAGCGTGAAAGTGCAGCCCCTTTTAAAGACTCAAATCTCTGCCATATCCTCCGACATCATTATCATCAGACCGGGGTAGACAGGAACAGAATGCAGACGTACGCAAGGGCCGTGGCCGGAAGTGCAGGAAGGGCAGTTGGGATTCATCTTGTTTGGTATGGAGGCGTTGGAAAGTTTCGCTTGACCGAAAACTGGATATGAATTGAGGTATGATGCTTCCGAGGTGTAGTACTGTAGTGAGTGTTAAAGAGAGAGGAAGAGGACGGATGAGTCTCGGGCATATATGCTTTTCAGTCTGAGGGTTATATCGACTTCATGAAGTTGAATTGATAAGTCCCCGCATGTCCGCATCCCCGCATGAAGAACTTGACTTCGTTAGCTGTTGATCACTCTCCGCCGTTTATCCAGTAAATTTCCCCACTATTCTGCAGCATGATGAAGCTGTAGCTCAGCTGCAATAACAGCTCGCTGATAGCTCCTTCCACCGAATCCTGACACCTGGTGGCTCCTGGCGGCCCAATCGGCTGGGGTAGAGCAGCGGAGCAGCTGGATTGACATTTGACGATCCGCTTAAGCCAGCCAATTCTACATCTCTGCAGATTATCTTGCGTTGTTGTTTATGTCCACATTGAATCTGTACATGACCAAACTGTCATCGCTGGGACCACTGGGCATCAGCCCTAAACCATCCTGCCTCGGTAGAACACCCAGATAGGAACCAGTTGTCCGTGCTGGTCTACGTATTACATTGGTGTCACTTCTGCCTCTGACCTATGAAACCGCAGTATCTTCCCTGGCTAACAGGATGTGGAACCTCAGTGGGGGCCTTCTTTGCTGCCTCTTAGTGATCTTTATGTGGATTAGCATACTTGGCCTTATCAGTTGGCATCAACTATCAACTATAGAGCGTGCCAATATCTGTGCAACCGTGGCGATGTTTAAGTGGTCCACTGGTCGTAATATCTTTCCCACCATGCAAATCTCGCCACCGATCCGCCTCTCACCATCAAGGTAGAGTAGGGGGTACTTATGCAAATGGGAGTCTGGCAACTTTCTTTACATACCTTCTGATTTCCTCGACAAGAGCCCTGCTGTCCGGTGCTGAGCGTTTGGCAAGATAGAGTGCTATATTCAAAGCCAAGTGATATCCACAAATATGTGTAAATGGTCAGGTGTTCCATCCATCTTCTGATGACCACGAGCATGGCTAGCTTAGCTAGAACGGCCTCCTCCTGAGTAAGTGTACCAAAATGAGCATCCAATCAACAGAACAGAATCCGCCGTAGCCAATCCAACCTCGCTTTCCTCGCCATGATAGACAACTGCGCTCCGGGGCACAGTCCCTCGAATCCGTGATATGCGCCAGGCCATACATGCAGCTCACACTGTGTGCCGTCACGCCACATGTTCTGCGCATACTGGACATCCTCGTCGCGAAATGTCTCTGTCGATCCGACATCGATATACGCCGGCGGAAGGCCAGTGAGATTCTTTGCCCTGATAGGAGCTGCATACACACTGACATTTTCACTTCCTCTGCGGTCACCTAGATACGCATTCCAACCTGCCATATTGGCATTGCGGTCCCAGATCCCAGCGCCAGTGAACTCATGCGCAGAAACCGAGTCATTACGATCATCGATCATAGGTGAGAACAGCGATTGTCCGATCAAAGGAGGGCCTATCCGGTCCCGACATAGCAGCGCCACACCTGCTGCCAGGCCACCTCCTGCTGAGAGTCCGTTGATTACAATACGGGTCGAGTCGATTCCGAGTTCCTCTGCGCGCTCATGTACCCAGACCAGGCCAGCGTAGCAATCTTCGATCGGTGCAGGGTAGGGATGTTTAGGCGCAAGGCGGTATTCGATCGTGGTGCAGATAGCGTCATGTTCGCGAACGAATTCGAGCAGGCCGCTTAGGGTGCAGAAGCGGTTGCCCATGATCATGCCTCCACCATGGATATGGTAGATGGCTGGTCGTTTCTGTGGAACAGAGTCTGGCAGACTCTCCTTGCGGAAGATTGAGAGGATCAGCGGGTTTATGTCTGGGCCGAGGAAAGTGTGTTCTTCATGAGTGACCCCCGGAAGTAGTATGTCATTGACTTTGGGTGGCCTCTGTTCACGGATTAAGTCATCATAGTCTGGAAGGAGCGATCCTAGCTCGCGGTCGAATGGCAGCTTTGGTCTTGGAGCCATTGTGTTTGTGGAGAATCGTTGGTTAAAGTGCTATAGGCTGATTAAAGGTAGACGAAAGACAGATAGTGGGTGAGCAGATCGTGGATGAGCTGCGCTTTTATTATAGCAGACTTGAGGCAACATGAACCTCTGAGATTGACTCTGTTCGACGGTGTATTCACAGTGGGGCTATAGAGGTTTTGTCCGCCTTGCAGTGGCATTCTTATGACATAATATAAGCTAGTCCGAGAAGATTCCCGCAGAAAGCGACATGGATGTGACTATGCAATCCTCTAAGGCTGATTAGTGGCAGATATCGATGATTTGCAGTGAAGACATCGGCCATATTGAGGCTGCAATCCATGAACGGTTTCCTAATCGGGCAACTCCGAGAGGATAAAGGTACCAAATGGGGGCGTCATCTATGACTTTCCAATTTTATTGGCTCATCCAATGTTTTGCTCATTCCTCGTCCCAAACTCCTCATCATGAGTCATCACGTTCGCCTGAGGTATCCAAACCCAAGCAACAGACTCGACACAAGAACAAGATATAAGAACTTTATCAGCAAGAACTCGTTAGATTATAGAGCTTCGTTCGCTCCTTCTAGTGTGACATTCAGCTAGGACGGGTTTAAACTAAATATGCAGCTAGAATGTACATCAAGCAGTGAAACAGTTTATGCAAATTCGTCATGTGTACTAGGAAGAAGACCACGCATAGTTGTGATATTGGCTCCAATACTTACTGCTCTGATTGAGCTCGAGATTGTTATCTTAGGTAAAAACCTCAATTTCTCGTACTGTGACAGTCCCAACCAAATGGCCCCAGAAGTGTCTATATGTATCGTATGATACTAGTTTATGCCCAACGTGATTGGGCGATCGCTGCTGCCTGCAGGTAAAAGGGCCTAGTTCTGGTTTACTACGTTGAGTCACTGGTTCTCCAGTCCATAGTTACCTAGGCTCGGAAACCTTCCCAAACGTAGGAGTAGGCAGTAAGTATGGTTTGGAGAAATGATAGCATTACAGGTCCCAGATGGTATGCAGGAGTAATACATGAAATATTCCCTGTGGTCCAACAGTAGAGTCGCTTATACGACCTAAAATTCTGCTAGCAGGAGGTCGGTGATAGAATTCTGAGAGGGCATTGAATTGTTAACTTATCTGCGGAGTAGATATGGCGCCATCTTAATGCCTCAAATCCCCCTAAAAAGCGTACGTATACATTTCCTTGGCAGTGGAGATCTTGGAGCTTACCTTGTGCTTAGCTGACTTTCTAGTCCCACTGTATGCTGCCATTGTGATCCAGTATATCAGATAGTGGGTGAATATCCAATTTTCCCAATCTGTTAACCAACAACTATTACACTTATTAGTCTTGACTCCGGTTTGAGGTCTACTAAAATTGTCACTATTGAAGACCATTGCCCTTACAGCCCACAGCCGGCTCACATCATGACTCGAGCAATGTTAAAAGTCGGGCAGGCGCCTTGTTTGCTAGCCCGGTGAGAAGGGTATTTCGCGTATAAAGGCAAACCCTCCTCTATTTCTGGATTGAGAGTCACTTTCCTCATTATTGTTTCCTTGCCCTTTTCATTGTCTATCTCTGTAAATTCTTCAATGCAGTCTTGGATCCTGTTCGTTGTTCTCATCTCTGACATTAGCGCCATTATCATTCGGCTGGGGTCAGGAGAATGGTCAACGCACGCAAAGTTATCTCTTCTCTCCTCGCACTTAGTCTTATTGACTGATGCCATGCGGACGACAATGTTACAACAGTAACCTACACGCCCATTACTGAGGAATGGACCGGCTCAGGGACCAACCTGACCGTGACCTTTGATATCGTGAGCAACGAGTATCTCTCCCTTTACACCAACAATACCCTGGAGAAGCGTACCGGTATCACAACCGTCGTCGCGGCAGCAACCATCGTCAATTCAATTTCAAGCGTGATTCTTGCGGCGAACGCAGGTCTCGAGATCTACGAGGATATTGCCGCCATCATCAAGAGCAAATCAAATCAGAACTCTTGCTCCCTCGTGTATGGCACCGACTCCGACGGGACCTATGTCGAAGGATATGCGTACGAGGCCACAACGAGTGGTGAGAACTGTGACACGACTGCGGAGAAGAAGACTATCCTTGCGGCAGTCAAGAAGTGTGCCAACAAGCTGAACGCCCAGGGCGCGATTCGGGGCTGCTGCACCATGAACCACGGCGGTACCTGGACGGGACATCTGCGTTTGACTACTAGTCCTTCACTTTACCCAGCACACACAGTCACATGTTAAAGTCTCGCTGCTGCTGGGATGTAGGATATTCAGCAGTATCATGTCTATTTTCGAATTCGTTTCATGGCCCCACAATGTGGCAGTGTGAGAATTGAGAGTTTTGTGTATTTTCCGGTGGTCTACACAATATTCGTGTCTGTTGAGTGCAAGACCTTTAGGGAACGAGAAAATTTAAGCCTACCTTTCGATCAGTTGCGGAGACTTGTGGCTTAACCTATAGTCGTCACCATGTAGAAAATCCAGACAAGCAACCAGCCCTGTGGGTCGTTGCCGCGTGGCGGATACGTATGTTCTCCCGACCAGGCTACATTTGTCAATGCTGGGAGAAAGTGGATATTCAGCCTTTCGAAGCCTTGTATGACTGGCAATAGTGACAAAAATAGCCCATTTAGAATCGCAAGAAGAGTAGGCTGCGGACGAACGTGTTCCCAAAGAGGGAATCCACTTTTACAAGGACCAATTTAAGTGCTAGTTTTCCCACGATTATTGGACCCGGAGAGATATGCAGATATTCGGCAAAGTTATCAATCAGCCAATATGCGAGTGACGGTCATGTTTACTTCTTTGGCAGCGATCCAGCTGGTGGTCTGTCAATCCAATTTCAACGGATCCGGAGAATATAACCTGTCAACGGCTACGAGGAGCCCTCATTCGCAAAAATCAAAACCTGACGGCAGTCATCTCTCGAGGCTGGAAAGACGATTTGGAGAATGGATACTAAAGCGCGATACCACGACAATTGCGGATGCAGTTACGTCGACCACCGCTACTGAGACTGTGACCTCCGCGACGACTAGCGATTCCGATGCAACGACGACCTCAGAATCCACGACTACAAGCAGCTCAGAAACCTCTTCATCATTCACGACAAGCACTGCAGCAGCTACGACAACCTTAACTACAACTTCCAGTACCTCTAGCAGCACAGCCACGTCATCCTCGTCCGCATCCAGCGCTGCCTCAACCACAACAACCACAGCAACAACGACAACTATAGTCTCAACCACCACACCAACCCCTACCGAATCTGCTGAATTGAAAGAATGGAACCACCGCGGGACCATCGCCGCCATCGTCACCTTCAGCATCCTCGGTTCCTTCTTCGTAGGCGCCTGCATCGCCCGATGCTTCCGCAATCGGGCGAAGAAACGGCATATCGAAGCGAGGAAGCAACCTGATCAAGACTCTTCGCTCTCCATGTTGGCCCCGACCGCCGAGAACGGGAAATCAGCGATCCAAGTGAAGTTGGATCGCGAGTCGATCATGTTCTGCGATGAGAGGAGCGTCCCGTCGTTGTCGGGGCAGTCGTATTGGCAGGGGTCCGTGGGACATTCGTCCATGCCATCGGAGGATATGGGTCGGTCGATGAGTAGTGGGAGGCATACGCCGTTGGGTGTGAGGGAGCAGCATGGGACAGCGGAGGTGTGAGGATGCTGAGAGTATTCAGCATCGACATTGACCTACATGTCTATTTCTCTTGTTATGTGTTTCGACCTTGTCGGGGGTTATAAAATGACGGATGAGATGACGACTACGCTTCATGCAGATCTAAGTAGAATGATATATAAAAATACAGTTAGCCAGTCCAACCATGTCATAGACTTTTGGCCATCTCCCAAATACCAGTCGACTACCGTGGTCAGCCCCCGGACTCTTCGCTTCCCGACGATCCGTCGACGACAACAAGACTCATTTCATGAAGAAGCTCCTCGACCTCGACCTCACCGGCCTTGGCTGCCAGATCTAGTGGTGTCCGACCCTTGTGATCTTTCGATTCAGCTTCTGCGCCGTGCCCCAGGAGAAAGTGCACATCGTCGCGTAGTCCAGCTTCGGCGGCGATGTGTAGTGCGGTCTGACCGTACATATCTGTCGCGTGGATGTTGGCGCCTTTATTCACCAACAACCTCATGACATGGTTCTTCGCTTTGACTGCTCGATGCAGCGGGGTCCTCTTGTAGTCGTCCTGCATCTCGAGTTCCGCCCCGTTCCTCAGAAGAAACTCCACCATCTTGCGATGACCGCGTTCTACTGCCTTGTGCAGTGGTGTTTCCCCACAGTGGTTGGTCACGTTGATATCGCAGTCTTTCTCCAGTAGTAAGCCGACTAGTCGCCTGTGGCCTCCTAACACGGCGAGATGAAGGGGTGTATCTCCCGTGTGGTCGGCTGCTTCGGGGTCTGCGCCGTTGGCCAGGAGCATCTCGACTATCTCGTCGTGTTCATCAATCACGGCTAGATGCAGTGGTGTTGTACCATCCTTGGCGGCAGCATTCACCTGTGCGCCTCTCTGCAGGAACAGGGCAGTCAGATCCACATCACCATCCTTTGCTAATATGTGAAGCGTAGTCCTCCCTTTGGTATCTCTCGCGTTGACATTGGCGCCTTTCTCAAGTAGCACATTGAGCATTTTCAACCCGCGCTTCGTGCGATCGTGTACCACCAACGCCAACAGAAGCGGGAGGCCGGATTCTCCGCACGGTGAATCGATGTCAGCGCCCTTCTTGATCAAGTATTTCACTATGTCGACATGGTACTTTCTGCCGGCCTGGTACAGCGGCGTGCCATGTGGGCCCTTTTCGTCATCAGGTGAAGGCTGCGCTTCTCTATCCGCCCCATGGCGCACGAGCAGTCGGACCACAGGTAGATGACCGTTCCTCGCAGCCCACCACAACGGCGTCCTCCCGACCGCATCGGTAGCATTGACATTGACTCTCCTCGACCCGATCAGCAATCGAACCACCTCTTCGTGTCCTTTCTCCGCAGCCCACAGCAACGGCGTCCGTCCCTGATTATCCTTGACGTCCGGGTCGGCATTCACCTTGAGGAGCTGCACCACAAACGGCTGGTTTCCCTGCTCCACAGCCCAGTAGAAGGGAGTCTGGCCATTGGCGTCGGGGATGTCAGGGTTGGTCTCACCGCGCGCGAGCAAACGATTCATAATCCCTTCGAGCCCATTCCTGACAGCCAAATACAACGGCGTTTGTCCATCGGCACCAGCGGCGTTCGGGTCCACTTCAGCGCGTCCGAGTAACGCCCCCGCAACCGCTTCGTTTCCGTTCTTCACAGCCCAGTATAGGGGTGTCTGTCCAGCAGCGTCCGGCGTGTTTGCATTGAGATCCGCCCGCGCGAGTAATTGTTCGATTATACCCCCATTTCCACTCTTCACAGCCGCGTACAAGGGCGTCTCGCCGTTGGCATCGGGAATATTCGGGTCGACATTCTCAAGAGCGAGTAATTTGCTCACAACGCCTGCATGTCCATTTTTAACTGCCCAACATAGCGGTGATTGGCCTGTTTTAGTATCCACCGCATTCACATCTACTTGCCCGGTCTCGAGCAAGATCTGGAGAACGCTCTCATGTCCACCCTCTGCGGCTAGGGAGACCGCATTCCGCCCATCTTCGTCTTTAAAGTCGAGCCGCACACCGGGGGTGCTGAGGAGGAGTTTGACGATCGTATCGTAGCCTTTGCTTGCGGCGAGAAAGAGCGCGACTTCCAGCTTCCCTGGTACGACCTTTTCTTCCGTCATCTCGACAACGAAGTGTTATCGTCTGCTCATAAGTGAGCATTCACTTTGTCGTCGGATGAATTGGTAGATGGAAGAAAAACCACGCAGAGTGGCAAGCGATGACAACATAAATCATTGTCCTGAGCAGACCCGCATCTCTGCGTCGCCACGTGGGGGGCTTTAACTGGTCGCAAGGATGAGAAAAGCCGGCAGGATTTCAGGTAAGGTGACAATTGTTCCTGATTTGGTAAGTTGTCATACGTTGGTTATCGGTTGTCTTTTGGGCCTTCGGGTTCTCTGGACTGCATGGTTTTAGGAATGTTCCAGAATTCATTCGTCGAGCGTACTCTGTGCTCTGGTCCGAACCGGGATCTGGGATCATGGCGTCGTATGATGGTCGATCTGATTCGATCCGTGGATGGTGGGATGAGCATTATGGGGATGGATGGTGCCTGACGAGCCCTATGTCCACTATATGATCAATCTGGCATCAATTTGATAACCAATGCCGTCTAAGGTATCTACTTACTTGTTAAAATACTTGTCTCTCCATCTATGAGGAATTATTACCCCGCAATTGGGAGGATGAGGGGCAGATGCCGCTATCCCGGTTCGCGAAAATCCCTAACAAGGCAAGTCTATTTTACTTCGGACAAATTCGGATCATAGTTTATAGTAGCATTAAACCGAATCATTTTCAAGGATAACTCCAGCCCTAGGTTTAAACACAGACCCTGCAAGCCCATTATCTATGAATAGCGGCCGCACGCATAACTCTCAAGACCTCATGACACAATAACATATACACATTGATTACATCCAATCAAACATGAACATCTGCTCATCGGAGCCTTTTCCCTCTTCTAGATGGAGCTCATTCTGTTCTCCTTCTGCAGTCCAAACCAGGTTTGTGCCCGGGACCTTGACGGCAAATTCGTCGAAGCCGGCCCGCTCTAGGTTAAAACGAGATGCCCAGGGTCCGGGCTTGCAGACCGATCCAGGAGCAGGGTATTCATCATAGCAGATGTAAATCCCATCTTCTGCGTTCTTTATCATACAGCCTTCATCGGTTTCCTCAACAACCCATCTCTGGTTTGGAGTGTACCAATCGATAAACTGGAGGTGCTCAGGCCCCGCGGGGGGCCAATGGGCCTTCACCCGCTCTTGCTAGGATTTGAGCCTTGTCTCCTCGTCAGAGCCAGAGTCCTGGGTAGGTTGAGTCGAGAATAGGCTGGTCTGATATATCAAAGGCATGATTGAAAGCGCCTACTTACTGTTTACTTTGGGACATATTGTCGTTATTTTTGTTAGGCCACGCGAATAGTTCTTTTTTCGTTTTCCAATTCTAAGACTGAATTTGTCGTCGGATGGCAAGGGAGTAAGAGATTCATATTTATATTTACGTTAGATATTGGCCAGTAGGCTGTTATCTGTCACCATCGCTCTCTAATGGTCATGGATTCAGGGCCTCGGATACCACGGATGATGTATATCTATTCTTAGTGGAGAAAGAATACCATTATATGATGTGGTAAACACGTCAAGTACAGTGGGTTGTAGCATGTCAAGCTCATTGACTCTTGCTAGGATTGCGTATTGACTTGAGATGCAATATGCCTTCGGTTTCCGCAACCAGATAGCGTTTGCCCTCAGGAAACTCTGAGGGCGACGTACGATGAATTGGAATAGGTCAAACCCTGTATTTTGCGGGAACTATTACGCTGCTCAGTTAAGCTTGCGTCACACAAGACTACAGTTTCCAAATCAAGCCATGCAATGGCAGATATGCTATCCCCTGCCGTCTTCTGATGATTTCAACGGAAAATACTGTTCCATAGAATCCTTGTCATGTACCCTTGCTGATGTGTCGCACTTCTCCTGGTCTCTCTGTATTTCTACATTATCTGTTTATCAATTCAGTCTGCTTCACCGTCGTGGGTGTCGCGTCTGTAGTTGCCGCTGTAGTAGCCTACACAGACTATGCATGCCATTTTCGCATTAAACATCGCAGTCAACCCTACATATGGCTCAGATTAGATTATACTATTCCGAGTCTTTTCATCTCGAGTCAGGAAAGAGATGGATCTGTTGGATGAGGGAACTGATGGTAATATGTTACTGACCGAAATGATGATCGTCAGTTTTGGGAGTATCGCGACATAAGAAGCAGAAGATATGATGATGGAAATATCGCAGTTAGATCATAAGTCTACGAGGTACTATTTATAAATTCTCATATCCGCGTCTGTTCAGAGTCCACGTCTGTACTTGTCGTGCACCCCAGAGCACACAAACATCTCAATCCCAGTGTTTCGTTTAGCATAGTCTGTATTCCCTATTTGACAGATTTCATTGAGAGAACAGCTCCTCAGGGCACCATCGCCCTGGTTACGAGGTGCTGCAGGAAGCACAACCTAACAGCTTGATCGATTTGGGCTGGTGTTCAATTGGCGTCCTCAGGCGTCAACCACGTCTCGTATAGGTGGCCATTATCTCCGGTGCTAAACACCTTGAGACAATGCTGGACTTAGGGCGAGGAATCCACTGCCTTGGCATATGAACGGAGATGCCAACCGTAAATAAGCCTTTTGATAATCCCGTCAGAATATGCAAGGATATATCGAATACGAGCATGCATATTTGTTTCAAAGTAAAAAGGAGATAACATCTCTACTCCGAATACGAGTCATGATATTACTTCACGGCCTTTTAAGACAAGCAGTCTCCCTTCGACTGAACCAGCCAATGTCCGATATCCCCGTCTGAGCTTTTGTACCAGATGTACACCTCTCAATCAATTGCAAATACGTCTTTCCTAGCATTCCAACACTTTCGAGATGGCCACTCACCAAGTCATCATCCTCCCCGAAATCAACTCACCACTCACCCTCGCCTCAGTCCCAACACCAGCCCCCCAATTCGGCCAAGTCCTCATCAAGGTCCTCGCCAGCCCTATCCTCGCATACTACCGCGCAATCCTCACCGGCAAACTCCCCTATCCCCTCCCCCTCCCCCTCACACCTGGCGTATCCCCAATCGGCCGCATCGAGGCCACCGGATCCGACACAACAACACTAAAACCGGGCCAACTAGTGTACGTCGACCTTACCGTACGCGCACGCGATGACCCTCTCAAGGAACAAGGCACCATCATCCTTCAGGGTCTCTTCGGAGGTATAACCCCCGAAGCGCGCATCCTATCCGAAAACGACTGGCGGCTTGGCTCGTGGGCGGAGAAACAGATCGTCCCGCTGGAGAATGTGCATGTTCTCGATGAATCGCTGCTGTGTGAGCAGATGGGCTATTCACCGGCACGGCTAACCTGGATGAACACCCTGCTTGTTCCGTACGGCGGATTACTGTCGGGGGCACTGCAGCCTGGGGAGACGGTGATTGTGTGTTTTGCGACTGGGCATTTCGGTGGTGCGGCGATTGATGTTGCGCTTGCCATGGGGGCGGGGAGGGTTGTTGCTGTGGGACGACGGATGAAGTTCCTGGAGAAGATCCAGGGTAGCTATCCAAAAGGAAAGGTAGTCGGGGTTGCGACGGAGGGTCTCGATGAGACTTCCCTGGAGGATGCGATGAGGAAAGCCACCCCTCGCGGGCTTGGTGCGGATCTGTTCCTTGATTTTACTCCAGCGTCTGCTGCAGAGGGGCAGAAATGGATACACATCTCCTCTGCGATATCGGCCTTGAAGGCTAACGGTCGTGCGGTTCTTATGGGTGGTGCTTCGGATGCGGTCAGCCTGCCTTATTCAGAGCTCATGACGCGTAATACCACGGTGAAGGGGAATTTTATGTTTGACGGAACTGCTCCTGCGAAGTTGATCCGGCTCATTGAGATGGGGAACTTGTCGTTGTCGAGATTTCACGACATTGAGTTTGATTTCAAGGACTACGAAAGGGCGATCGACGAGGCTGCCACGAAGACTGCTGGCGACTGCGGTGTGGTCTTGGTCCACAAAGAATAAGTCTGGGGGAGTGCAGCGCCGGGGCAAAGGTACTTGATCCCTCGGTAGAGGTCTGAAATATAAGCTTGTGGATTCCTTTACTGCTTCATGTTCTTTTAAAATAGAGCAAGCTTTGATTCACTATGGGTTCCTCCACATAATAACCCAGCAGATGTTTAATGTAGACGGAGCGGGGACGAGTTGATTCTTCATGCATATCCATTGTTCCTCTATCTTCCAGACAAACACTGTACGCCCTGGTAGACCTGTAGACGGCCAGAGAGAACGTGTGGACCATTGTGACATTGGGAATCAGAGATCGTGTCTTCGACTTCAAGACCGGCACTACTCGAGCCTCGCCGCTTGTATGTTCGCCTCGAGATCATCCTTTTCCGTGCCTGACATTCTTTGCCATTGTGAGGGCCATGTCCACCGACCTGTCATGTAAAACTCGTCGTTAGATTCCTCCATGGAAACAGAGTATGATTGTCGCGTCTTACGTCGTCTTCGAACCATCTTGACAGCATAGAAGTATTCCCTCAATGTTTTCGGGTGGTATTCCGGGAACATGCGATCAAGTATCCGCTCGAGTCTATGTTTCGACAGACACGTTAGTCCTGTACCGGCAGATGAAGAGGAAGAGGAGGAGGAGGAGGAG